TGTTTGTGCCAAGTTTTATTCCTACCAACAGTGCATGAGGGCTCCGTTTTCATTATATCCTCATCAACACTTGTATTTTCTGGACTTTTTGATACTAGCACTTCGGATTGGTGTGAGGTGATATCACATTGTGGTTTGATTTGCATTTCTCTGATGAGTAATGAGGTTGAGCATCTTTTCATGGGTCTGTTGGTCATCTGTATGTGATCTTTGGAAAAATGTTTCCTTAGGTCCTCTGTCCATTCTTTAATCAGATTGTGTTTTTCCTTTTCAGTTGTTTGAGTTCTTTGTATATTTTGGATATTAACCACTTACCGAATATATCATTTGCAAATATCCTCTCCCATTCACTAGTTTGATTTTTTCTGGTGTTAATGGTTTCCTTTGCAGTGCAAAAGCTTTTTATTTTTGATTTCGTTTTCCCTGCCTGAGGAGACATATCCATAAATATGTTGCTAAGGCCTATGTCCAAGAGATTACTGCTTATGTTTTCTTTTAGGAGTTCTATGATTTAAAGTCTCCCACTTAGCTCTTCAATTAATTTTGAGTTTATTTCTGTGCATGGTATAAGAAAGTGATCCAGTTTCATTCTTTTGCCTGTAGCTGTCCAGTTTTCCCAATAGCATTTACTGAAAATAGTGGAATATCATTTATACTGTTATAACATTGTTATGAAATACTGTTATGATATTGGGAGGAAAGAAAATGGCCCAGCAGTGGACCATGATAGAGTCATGCTCATGGCAGTGAGAACTCTAGTTATGGGACTCATACTCTCTCTGGGACCTGAAACTGAAATCATTACAATTTGGTTGCTTTGGGTGACATCTTAAAGTGAAAATGGTGTAGGCAGAAATCAGCCAATGTGACGGATGACCTTTATCTGTATGACCTTTTCCAAATTTCACCCAGTGTGTTGCTTCTGGGATGCGTAGGACATGTTCTTTAGAATTTCTTAGTCCATTTCTTAAGTCTCTTGGGCTCTCTTTAAACTTTTCTTTCTCTTTATCTCTCTATAAGGTGTTCTGCACAATCTCTTCCACCTGTTCTAATTCACCACTTCTCTATCCAGCTGTATCGTATATGCTGTCCAGAATTTCTTCAATCTTTTATTCCAGTGGTTATGAGGTTCTATTCTAGAACATAAATGTTTCTTCAAAATACTCTGCTCTTGTAAGTAATTAGATATTTCTTCCTCATGTTTTAGGTATCTTATCGCTTACTTATATAGGTTAAACATATTTTAATAGTTTATATCTGATAATAAGCCTTTACTAGATACAGTTTGGGTTATTGATACTACTGACAGTGGCCTGCTTTGGGATTTCGTCCTTGTTTAGGAGGACTTCATCTGTAGGAATATTGTTAAAGACTCAATTAATGTTCAGCCACTCTAAAAAGAGGTAGAATTTGTTGTTCCATATGGCAGGCAGGAATCAGTTTGTGGTCCAGATGACCTATAACTCTATGAGGCATGTTTCTGATAGAGGCAACACAAAGTTTAGAAGTTGCCAGAATCCCACTGTGATTGGTTGATGGGATGCAGAAGGGTGTGCAATCAAATGCACATGTGAAATGGCGTGATATAGAGACGTGTTCCCTGCATTGCACTTTGTCCATTCAGATATGGAGGTTGCCCGAGACGTCAGGAAATGCAGCGAACGTAAATGGGCCAGTGCCCCTCAGCCGCCGCCATTGTCCTTCCTTTCGAGCTGTTGGGAAGGCGAGCCCCACATGGCTGAGCCTGGCTGTGAGACCTCTTCTTAGGAAAGCCTGGGCACAGACGCAGGATCCCACGGCAGCCGACTCCAAGAGCACGAAGCAGAAGCAGCC